TTCTTTTTTGTTTGTACTATTTTTTGATTGTAGTTTTTTTAAATGGGCGTCGTAGCACACGCATGTAATCTCATCAATTAGGGGATGATGCGGGTTGGCTGAGGCAGGAGGATCGCCAGTTCAACTTGGCAACTTATTGAGACCCTGCCTCAAAATAAAATCATAAAAAGGGCTGGAGATGTAGCTCAGTGGTAGACTGCTTGCCTAGCATACATGGCCCTGCCTTCAATCCTTAGTCCCACCAAAAAAGAAAAACACACTTGTCCCAGGGGAAGAATAAAGCATTGCACCTAATAGTAGAATTCTGGCTGAGCTGCTCAGGAGCTTGTGGGTTTAGGAACAAGTTCCTTCATCTCTCTGAGCCTCAGTTTTATCATCTCTAAAGTGGGAGTAACACATCCACCCCATCGGGCTGTGGGGAGAATTGTATGAGGGATGGTATAGTTCTGAATCAAGTCCCATGGACAAGTCTGTCCCTTCCCCCTGCCTTCCCCCCTCTGTCAGTGAGCAGATGGCCAAAGCCAAGGAAGGACAGGAAAGGAGACACATGGAGCAAATTGGAAAGAACTCAGAGATGAGGAAATTCCTAAGAAAAGCACTGCTCCCTGCTCAGCCTCTGAGCACATACCGGTTCCCTTCCTGCCTGGGCTCCCCCACAAGCTCATCTCCTTTTGGAAGATCTAGGCCTGAGAAGGAGTCCCTGGAAGGGGGACAGAGTGGGGAGGAAGCCACACTCCGGGTGGGGGTGGGGGAATTTCTAGGCCAGGAGAGTGAGCGCCCCAGGAAGCTGCCCCCAACCCAACCCCCAAGAGCTGCTTGGGTTTTCAAGTTTCCCAGCTGTGGACCAGTTCTCCAGCTACCCTGCTGGCATGGCCTTTTTTTTAGAAATGCAGTGTCTTCCCCTCTGTCCAACCCCCCACCTCCAGCTGCTGCATCAGGAGAACCCCCATGTGGGTCAACTCTGCCAAGAGCTTTGGCTACCTCCCCTAAAGCCCCTTCCTGAAGGCATAACATTTCTCTCTCTCTCTCTCTCTCTCTCTCTCTCTCTCTTGGGTGGGAGTGCCAGGGAAGGAATCACTTGCTCAACACTGAGTAGCACCCTGCCCCCACCCCTGGGTAGGCAGAGTCTGGAGCTGAGTCTGTTTTCCTGCCTTCCAGCCCTGCTCCTCCTTTAGCTTAATCTCTGCAAGAAACGCAGTTCACTTTTCTGAGCCCCATCCCCCTCCTGCAACAGAAGGTGCTACTACCAGGGTTCCTGTGCTATGAGATGAAGGACTGGCGGTCATTCACACCAAGACAGGCGCCTCCTTATCATCCTGTCATATCCCCACCCCTCAGAAGTCTTGGAGGCAGAAGAAGCCTCTGGAGGAGAACCAGCCCCTCCTCTGCGATGGATGACCAAGAGGAGTTATTTCAGGAAACCATGCCCAAGCCAGAGTTCTCGGGAGCCAGTTCTGAAGGGTAGAGCCCCACACAACCTCTCTGGTGGCCCATCTGGTCCAGGATTAGCTTTTCTTAAGAATTTGCCTTTCCCAGGCTCTGGCTTCTGCTCTTAGGTTTGTAGTGGTGACCTCTGATCCACTCTCTTAATCATAGAGACTTTTGACCTGCCTGGCTGAACACTTTTGTGACTACCCTCTTCAGGAGGCAGAAGCCAAGAAAACATAATGGTGATGAGACCAAGGCCAGGGGTCAGGTCTGTGTCTATGGAGTGAGGGTGGGGTTCTGGCTTTCAGTCCAGAGGTGGCAGGGCACCAATCAGCTCAGGTTTGTATTCATTAAAGGAAGGGCCACACTTGCAGAAAATTACCAGCCCACTGTCTCAGGACACTTGCAAGAGGGTCTGGGGAGAAGAGAGCCTACTCAGGTTTTGGCTCCCAGCCCCAGATCTTACCTAGTCCATCTGCTAGTCACTCAAATACTGTCCCCCACCTTAACTTACCTACTATCCAACACCCTTCTTTAGAAATGACAGAAGAAGCTCTAATGGACCTTGCTCTCCCCACCCTCTCTCTCTCTTTCTCTCTCTCTCTCTCTGAGGGAAGGGGGAATCTTGGAAACTAGCTCAGCAAAACCCAAGTATGTCCTGGGCAAAGTCTCAACACCTCCTGGCCAGGGGTCTGGGGCTCTGATGGGGGCCAATATTCTCTCTTCCCTCTCTCTCAATGGGAGAAGAAATATCTGATTGAGATTTTTGTTTGTTTGTTGGGTCTTTTCTTTTTTAGAACTGGGGAGCCAACCCAGGGCTTTGTACATGTGTAGCAAGTGCTTCAGCACTGAACTAACTACTTCCCCACCTGTGGGAGCAGCAATCTCTGGGAATTTCTATGTGCAACCTGGTCACTCTGTGGCCTTAAGACCCTGATGGGATGAGTCCCACTCAGAAAGCACTTGCGCTAAAAAAGGGAGCCCAGTTAGAGCAAGGGGGGTCAGCTGAGATAGGTTCTGACCAGTTGGCCTCATAACCATCACTAGGCAGCACTTATCACATTCCAAGGTCCTTCACCAAGCACACCATAACCTTACTCCAAACTTTAGAACAACACCTAGTATCAGAATTACTTTCCCCGTTTTGCAAAGTAGAAAACGGGTTAAATGACTCACCCAAGGCCATACAACTGCAATGCTCCCAAATTAAATGCAAATAGGTATTTTTCCTACTAAGCCCCATTGCTTAGTGGGTTTGAAATGCCCAACTCCACAAATGAATTTATTTTTACATTCTGCCTCCTCTTTCCTCCTCCCCAGGGAAGGGGCCCTAGGAGTTGCTGCAAGATGCCTCTCATCCCCATACCCATTCGGCCAGCTAAGTCCCTCCCGCAAAGGGCACACATTCTTTCCCTCTCTGCCTCTGAGGACACCCTTGCCCCTCACTCCATGACTCCAAGAGCAGAGAACATAGAATATTTGGCCAGGGTGGATCCCAAGAAACATCCCAGGGGTAACTTGCCTGGGGACTGGCAGATGAGGTCTTCCTGTGAAGGGCTACAGGTAGCAGAGCAGGTGCCAGCCACTGAAAGCGCTTTTAGCTCCTTATCAAATATTAACACGCCTCTCCTGCTACCTCCCACCTAGACGAATAATTAAGAGCTCGGCCTCACCATTAATCTTTAAACGAAAATCACCTTGTCCGGAAAGACCGGCTCAGCGGGGACCTCGGGTCTCCAGGTGACCCCCGCCGGGATCCAAATCCAGCACTGGGGATTGGGGAGAAAAGGGAAGCCTACAATCCTCGGAGCAAAGAACCCAGGGTGGGAAGAGGGGAACGCCAGGATCCCAAATGTACCCCCACTTGCTGTCCCTGGGTCAGTGCCAGCCCCAGCATTGAGCTGCGGCAGGATGGACGGCCACACTCGGACAGACCAAGGAAGATTAAGGTGAGAAAAGGAGGCGTGCGTCGAGGCGGGTCCGGGAAGCTTCCTATCACAGACTCATACACCCGCCTCGCCGTGGGCCGCCGGGCCACGCGCACACACACCGCAATAGTTCACACGCGTGCACACACTCCCCGGCACCGGCCAGCGGACACGTGTGTGCGCACACGAGCTCGCGCAGGGCCCCATCTGGCTTCAGTCTATCCTCTCCGGGTGCACACAGCTCCGTGCACAAGCAACCCGGGACGATGCGCAGCCGGAGCGCACCAGCCGGTACCGGCGAGCGTCTGAAGCAGAACAGAGCTAGGTGAGCGAAAGGGGCCACCCGAGGGCTTCCTGAGGCGCGCTCACCTGCGTAAGCCAAGGGCCCGGCAGTGGCAAGGGCCAGGAAACCAAGCAGCAGCCACATAATGCGCCAGAGCAAAGAAGCTGCCAAGCCCGGGATCGCGCACCAAGGATCCCGCGTGTGTGTGTCGGGGGGGTGTCGCGATCATGCCGCCCAGGGTTTTATAGCTGAGCCGCGACGGGAGGGAGCCCCGACAGCAGGCGTCGGGAGGCGGCTCCTCCCCCTGGCGGGTCGTTCCCTCCCCTCGCGGTGTCCAGTCTCTGATCTGAAATCTTCCGCTCTCCCCTGTCCCCCGCCCCGCCCCGTCACCCTTTGCTGGGTGCACCAGGACCCCTCACCCACTCCACATCCTCTGGCTCAGAAACAACACCTTTTCTGCTCCGCTCCCTCCCTATCCCAGGTTTGAGAACAGGGAAGCGACACCACAAGGTACTTGATCCACCGGGGGTGAGTGCCCCAGATTCCCGACTACCATCATTTTGATGCCAACCATTGCTCAGAGGTCTCAAAGTGGGTATTTGGAATGCCTTGGGTAGGGATGGGTGGAAATAACCTCGGAGAGATGGGCGAGTTAAAGGCTGTGCAAAACTGTTTGTTGAATCGGTGACTCAGTAGGAAGGTTCTCTTGTCTCTCAGGCAGTGGTTGCTGATTCTCTGTATATCATCTCTTTTTCCTCCCAGGATGCAAATTTAAATATATATATATTTGTAAGTAGACACAATACCTGTATTTTATTTATTTATATGTGGTGCTGAGGATCAAACCCGGTGCCTCATATATGTTAGGCAAGCGCCCTAGGGCTGAGCCACAACCCCAGCCCCCCACCCCACCCCCGCCCCCCGGAAATTTAACTTTTAAGCTGACCAAACACCCTTCTTCCCATATAAAACAAAGCTGTCCCTAAACTGCTGTTGCCGGACTTTATTTGATGACCAGAGCTGGGAGAGGGGATAAAGGGACAGAAGAGAGGAGTGAATTGCAAAAGAGACTCAATGAGGGAGAAACCGATGGTGTCAGAAGGGAGGAGCTAGGTCCTGTTGAGGTCCCCCCAAACCCAATAGACAAGATGGTAAGAGAAGAGACCAGGGTCTGCCTGAATCCACCCCGAGTTTTTCCTTCTGCCAGGATCTCCAGAGTCCAGAGAAAGTCCTCCTTTCCTTGAAGGAGGTTCCAAAATGTGGGGAAATGGAGTTGTCCTCTCTATCCAAGCAGTGGTCTCTTGTGTCCTCTCTTAGATGTGGTCCTCCTCCCCCCAGCCACCTCCACGTGGTGAGGGCTTCCATGGAAGTTTAGGAAGCTCAGACTGAGGGTGGGAGGGACAGGGAATCAGCCAGTGGACCCCTCCATCAACAGGAAGCCCTGTTTCTCTGGTCCAGCCACTTCCCCATCCGTTGCCAATCTCCCAGTCTCTACCAGCCTTTGAACTGGGTTAGGGACTACTGAAGGGGGATCGACCTCCCCAGAACAATCAAGGCATAGGGGCTTCCTCCTTGGTTAGATTCATGGCTGACTCTTCTGGCCCAGGATCACACAGCCTCACAGAGCAGCTTTGATCCTACAGGGGGTGTCTAAATCAGGCTTAGAATTTCTACACTGTTTTAGAATTTAATCTCCAACCTGGAAGCATAACAGTCAGGGGAAGGATTCCACACCTTCTTCTAGGGAGCTTCTTGGGGGCGGGGGGAGAATTTGTGTTCATAGGTCTGAAAAAAGAAGCCTGTCCCTGGGAATTAAGACTACTCCGTGCTGGACATAGGACATAGTGATGCCTGTCTCTGTGATCCAGCAACTCGGGAGACTGAGGCAGAAGGATCACAAGTTCAAGGCTAGCCTGAGCAATTTAGGGAGACCTAGTCCCAAAATAAAAATTTAAAAGGCTGGGGATGTAGCTCAGTGATAGAGTGCTTACCTAGCATGCACAAAGCCCTAGTACTACTCCCTTCATTAAAAAAAAAAAAAAAAAAAAAAAAAATCCAGAAGGTCCCTAGGACCCATGTCAACTGCCTGACAAGAGTGAGATTTGATGGAGTTAAGGGGCTTTTTTTTTTTTTTTTTTAAAGAGAGAGGGAGAGAGAGAGAGAATTTTAATATTTTATTTTTTAGTTTTTGGCGGACACAACATCTTTGTTTGTATGTGGTGCTGAGGATCGAACCCGGGCCGCACGCATGCCGGGCAAGCGCGCTACTGCTTGAGCCACATCCCCAGCCCAGTTAAGGGGCTTTGATCAGTAACTTCTGGACCCACTTAAAAATCCACTGCACTGCAGGGTGGGGGCTAAGGGAGAGGAGGGTGGGAGGGCCCTGGGTATATTTTTGGGCCAGGCTGTGGGGGTGTCCCTCTGAGTAAGTGGGTGTGGTTTGGACATTCACTTGCTCACAGATGCATCTTAATGATGGCACTGCAGAGGCTGAGAATGGTGCTGTGGATAGTCAGGGGATACACCTATCTGGCGTCTTTGACATTGGAGTCATGCACGTGGAAGGCTCCTCATTCCTGTCTTAACCTTCCCAGCATTATCTCCCAGCCCCAGATCCAGTCTTGGGCTACCATAAAATAGTCACTTGTCACAGAGTCTAGACTACCTGGAGCCCAACTTCCCTGAAAGGGACAAGGCCTGATTTAGGGTCATTAGAGTAGAGATGGATGAGGACATGTTCCAGTGACTTACAGGACCCATAAAAATTGTCAGCCTGAAAAATCTGAGTGGGAAAGCCCTGCCCAGTGTCCCAGCCCTGCAGTGGCCTCCTTTCTCTTACTTAACCCAAGGTCTACTGTGTTCTGAACTCAGTGTTCTGAGTTCAAGTCTTTACTCTTCCTCTGACTCAGGGATAACCTTGGGCAACTTTCCTATTTGTCTCTGATTGCAACTTCCTCATCTATAAAATGAAGGTGATAACCTCTGCCCCGCTGACCTGTGCCAATAAACAGTTACTGGGAACCTGCTGTGTGCCAGGGACTGCCCTGCCCAGCCTTTCACAACTGACTTCATGCTACCTGGGTGTGGCCAACAGCTCATGGGTGATGAAAGATGAATCACAATCCTTGTCCTCTTAGTATTCTCCCTTGTTTGGCCCTGTCTAGATCAGAAGGGAGGCAGTGGGGAAGCTAAAGGACTGTAGAGTCAAGTGACCCTGCTGGCTCCACCCACTTTTTTAGGATGTCCTCTAAGCCTCAGTTTCCCTCATCTGTAAAATGGAAATCATACTCTTATCTTTCTCATAGTTGGCTGTGAGGTTCAATGAGTTAAAGCCTGAGGGAGGTTGACCCAGGGCTTGGCACATTGGCACATGTGACCATGAACTCTGAGAAGAGGTCCCTTACCTGGATTAAACCTAGGTGGGTATGAATGTGTATTAGTGGGAGGGGACACTAGTCTAGACCAAGGAGGATCCCTGGTACATTCACGCTCTTCCTGGGTTCCCAAGGGAAGGAAGGGAACTTCAAATGTATAGATTTGAAAATGTGAGATTTGGACTCAATCCCTCCTGGGACAATGACAGACATGGGATAGAGGCAAAAGGAGCTGAGACCCTGCACTTCTATTCATAGGTCAAAGGAAGGTCAAGTACACAACCCTAAACAGAAAACCACCATTTCTTGTGTTCAGGGTGGAGGGTGGGCAGACAATGTAAGAAGACTGGCACAGTTTGGGGACCACACTGCCTTGGGTTTTCATCCCCAGTGTTCACCCTTCACCTCCCTCAAGCCCAGTGTCCTGACTAGGAAAATGGGGATAAAGACAGCCCCTTCACATGGGTATGGTTTGAATTCAATTAAATGGTACTGGGTAAAAGCCCTGGTAGAGGTCCAGGCACAATAAACTTCAGTTGTAATTAATAGTTGTTAATGGAGTTATGCCCAGAATATTCCAGGAGACCAGAGAAGGGGCAGTTAAATCAATCAGTGGGTGGGAGACTGGAGAAGGGTTCCTAAGGGAGATGATATGGGCTGAGTCTTCAAAGACAAGAGGGTTATTGGAATGAGAAAAGCCATGGAGGTAGGGTGAGAGATGAGACTGGAGAGGTATTTGGCCCCTGACAGACAGGACTTGATTTTTTGGATTAGAAAGTTGGACTGATCTTTTCTTTGGTAGGGGGCATGACGTCGAGACTCTGATTGTGTGTGTGTGTGTATTTCAGGAGGTACTGGGGATCAAGTTCCTGGCTGCTTTACCACCAAGTTATATACCCTGCCCTTTTTGTTTTTATTTTTTATTATTCTAAATTTTGAGACAGGGTCTCACTACGTTACCCACGCTGTCCTTGAACTTGAGTACCTCCTGCCTCAGCTTCTGGAGTCGCTGGGATTGCAGTTGTGCTCCACCACAGCCAGCAAGACCCTGATCTTCCAGGCCAGGAAACATCCTCCGAAAGAGACACTCACCCCCAAAGGGAACAGGGATCCTAAGTGACTTCTCTGAGCTGCGGAAGAGAAGCTGGGGCTCTGAGGGGCCAACTGCCAACAAAGAGAGAGCAGAGGTGGGATCTGAACCCTGGTCTCCTGCCTCCGCCTGCCGCTGCTCCTTCCATGCTGTCTTACCTCTCCAACACACTCCTGCTTCCCTCCTACGGAACCCCAGCCTCCATCTGTCCTTGTTTTCTGCACTTTTAGAGTCTCCACTGATTAGCAGAGGATTCATGGAAAGGTTTATGGAGATTCCAGCTTTTGAATCCCTGAATGTCGACATTGAATCCACACGCAACCAGACTTAATCAACAGTGTGGGCTCCACCACTCCCCAGGCTGAATCTGCCATATTTCAGAAAAAGCAAGAAAGTTTTTCTTTTTCTTTTTTGGGGGGGGTTGGGCACCACCCATGGAGGCTGCAGTCCCTCTCCCTCCTCTTTACACCTACATTGTTCCTCTGGTCTGTGGAGACAATTCTGGTGAGTGAAGGGAAGAGGGGATGGGGGAGACAGAAAGAGAGAGAAAAAATGAGCAAGCTGGAGGCTGTCACTGGGTCAGGGTAGAGCCTTCCATGGTAGAGGAATTTGCAGAAACTTCTGCCCCCAAACATTCTGAAATAGGAACAAGCAGTATGACACACAGAAAAATCCAGCAATGGAGATGACATAAGTCCTGTTCCTGCCCCACAGAAAGCGTAGGAATTACACTCTTAATGGTTGTTCCTTCCTCCTCAGCTCTGAGCCTTAAGAGGTCAGGCAGGAGGCTGGGATCAGAGCTTCCTTGGATTTTCCAAGTGTTTCATTCACATTCTGGCTTTGGGGCGGAGAGACCCCTAAAAAGGGCCATGAGGGGGAATCATGTGGGGAGAAAAAGAAGAACCACACAGGCACCTTGGCTGGGGGAGGGCATATTCCTCAGTGAACGTTGTGGCAACATTAAGAAAACAGGCTTTTTCTGGTGTGTGTGTTTGAATTTTTTTTTTCCCCAAAGTCATTCAAATAACACCTTCTTATTGTAGAGCATTTGGAAAGAAGGAGGAAAATGATGTCTTCCAGAGGCAATCATTTAAAAATTTGGTATTTTAATTTAGAAAGAAAATATGCACCTTAATTTGTGTTTAATTTTTCCATGTTTCCTTCCAGTCTTTATCTATATATAAACACACCAATGACAACATGAACAATTTAGTCTCCTGCTTTTTAACCTTCACAAAACAGAGCAAACATGAGGTCATGTTACTGCACAGCCTTCAACTGTGATTTTGTGACTCCACACTATAACCAGGTGTGTCATCAACGTACTTACCATTATAAATAACTGCAGAGAACATCTTCCCACTGGAAGAACAGGGCCACAAAACGAGGGATCCCAGTTCCTCTTTCCAGCTCCTTATTGATCAGAGCTACTGTAAGTTCATGAAATGGGGTGAAGTTAAAGTAAAAAAGTTTGTGAGGGTCCCTTGAAAGCCAGGTGGAGAATCTGAGCCTGGAGTCCTAACTCTTTGACCTCTGATGTATGTAACATAGGGACTTTGTGTGGTGGTGATGGTGGTGGTGGTAGTGGTGGTGGGGAGTAGGGGGTTTCTGGGTAGATTTGCAGGGTAGAAAGGGTATTAGGAAAAAAAAAATGCATCTGCACAAGGGCGCCCTCTGCTGTTCTTGCTCTTCCAAGAGTTTGGGGTTGTTTCACAGTTTGGAAGTTCTCCGTTTTAACTGTAGGTCCTTCCTTACTCTTTCCTTTCCAAGTGAGAGTAGGGTATCATTTCACAACAGTGAAATAGAATTTAGAGAGTTGGAAAAAAATCTTTAGACTCACACCATCTTTGATACCCAGAACTTTAGCCTCCTTAAAAGAAAGAAGCAGTTGAGAATGAAGTAGCAAGTCCCCTGAAGAAGGTGGCCTAGCCACTTCCTTCTCCAGGTGTAGGGCAGGATGGAAGTATTTATTAGAGCTGCAGAAAGCAGCTGAGGTGTACCCAGAAAATACAGTTAGATCACCTGTGCATCTGACAAGGGTTATCTACAGGAACATGTGAGGGTCTGATAAACCTACTCTTCCTCCTTCCTCATGGCAACTGGGAAAGGGCTGGCTCTTTCAGAGTAAGTAACCCCAATGTCCCAGAAGTGTAGTTAAAGTTTAATGAAGCCTCTGTGGGATGGGTTGGGGCAGGTGGCTTCATGGGGTGTAGGGCTTGTGCAATTGCAGAAGGCTGTACTTTGAAGGTCGTTGCTTGGCTTAATGCTCTGCTGTCGTTGTCGTGAAATGCTTAATTTTTGAACAACAGGCTCCACATTTTATTGTGTAGCATACAATGGAGTGAGGGTGGAATGGGGGTGTCTGTCTTTGGGCTGCAAATCCACCCTCCCAGGACTGTCTGGGGAGCATCTGGGCAATGGGCGTCTTAAAAGAACAACCTGTGAAACTGCAACCCTTTGTAGAGCCCTCTTTTGGCGCAGCTTCTGCTTTCACGAAGTGTTCGGCGATTGTTTGTTCGCCGCCCACCGCGCTAAGCCAGGGCAGCCTCTGAGCCCTCCAAGGCGCAGCCTAGGAGTCCCAGGATGCATGCCAGCGCCAAGGCTACCCGAACGTCCACCGCCTTCTGCTTACCGCGCTGCCTAGCAATCGGGTCAGTGGTGCGCGGTCCGTGGCAGCCCTGCGCATGGTGCGCCATGGCCAGCCCCAGACTCCTCTCCACCTGAGCCAGCCTCAGCCCGCGTTATCTGGCAGTGCTGGGCGTGACAGTTGGGCGCTTTCTGCAGGCTTGGCTCGTCTGTGATGTGCTGAACAGCACCTGCTGGTCTGACTTCTACCTTTATTATCTGATACTGCACCCAGAGCTGATAAGACTCCGGGAAGCCCTGGGACACTGCGCAAGAGCACGTCCGCAGCAAGGTGGGACCCGCCCCTCTGTTCTCAGTCGAGCGCACACGCATGGCCTTCTGGTTGCTCCCGTGCCTTTGGGGCTTTCTTTTCTGAACTGGTTCCCGCTTTGAAGAGTTAGACTCCGCCTCCTGGAGCTTCCCTGAATCCTGTCATAGGGCTGGGGGTGCAGCTCAGTGGCAGAGCGCTTGCTTAGCATGCACAGGGCCCTAGGTTCCACCCCAACACCGCAAAAGCCCGAACCAAACCAAACCAAGAAACAAAACGTACAAAACAAAACAAAAACAAGAAACAAAACAACAAAACCCAACCTCACCCAGTATCACAGTCACTACAGTCGTGCTCAATTCATTGGGCAACCTTAACACCTACACCCTCTGAGGCAAAAACCTGACCCTGAACCTCACTCCTTGTCAAGACGTTGGGAAGCAAGGAACAGAAATGTCCACACAATCTGGGGTAAAGGAGGGACATTCAGTTCGTGAAAGACGCATGGGAGGGATCCCAGGGCTTTTCTTTCCTGTCTTGCAATTAACAGTATCTGTACAGCTTAGATGCTGTAAAAAGGGCTGAATCCTTGGAAACTGGGGAAAGGCTTCCTGGGCCCAGCTACCCAGCTTCCCCAATTCACAGGACAGGTCTTTAGTGGACAGGGACTATGTTCAGAATGCGTGAATAATTACCGAGGCCAAGACAAAGCATGGCTTCAGTTTTGCCCACCTCTCCCTAGCTGCCTGAGTCTGCTCAGACCATGACCTTCGCTGAGCCACTCGGGCAAGCTTGGCCTTCCCAGGTGATTCTGGTCAAATGAGCAGTGGCCTGAATTATTGAGGCAACGGTTCAGAAGGGTTATTGGACCGGTGTGGACACTTTCTGGAGTCCAGGTCGGATTCCGAGTGGAGGCCGTAAGTGGGGGACGTGATGAGTTTCAGCACCACAGGGTGGACAGCAACCCGGAGGCAGCCACGGAACAAGACTGCGGCCTGCCCCAGCCTGGCTCTTCCCTCTCCCCCTCCCACCCGGATCCTTACCCAGGGAATCCCCGCGGAGGGGCGGTCCCCCGCAGCGCCGAGCTCCCTCGCCGGCCTCCAGACGCAGAGGCTGTGTGGAGCCCGGGGCTAGCGCTCTGGGAATGAGCGCCCCATTTGAAGTCAAGGATGAGGGACAGAGGGAGGAGCGGAGCCGAGCTTGCCTAGGAAGGCAGGTGCTTCAACGGGGGCTGAAGGGTGAGCCCTGGTTAAACCCCTTGAACCTCTCTTGAGTTTGCTTTGGAATCACAGTGTAGAGGCCTGGCCGGAGGAGAATGGACCCTCAGGCCCTTGCAGGTCCAGACCTTGGCAACCTCAACCTTAACCTCCTGCTCAGGCAAGATGAGGGCACCTCTGATGGGGAAATGGGTACAGAAGGGTTATTTGGGAGAGAAACAGAGCAGTCTAGCTGCCCTGACCTGGTGGCAGTGAGGGAAGTTAAAAACTGTCTTGGCCCTCTGTGGGGTTAAGATCACAAAGCTTCTGCAGTCTGCTCTAAGCCTCACAACAGCCCAAAGAAGTAGGTACCCCCAATGCACTGTAATCCATGAGAGAGCTCAGACAGGGTGGGCATTTTCTTCAAGTCACACAGTTAGAGATTATTTGAGCCAGGACTTGAGCCAGGTCTTCTGCACACCAGATCTGCTGCTTGTCTTTTGCAGCTTGTATCACTGGGAGTAGTGTCTTCTCTCCAGTTGGGGCTCCCTGCTGCACCTCCACAGGTTGAGGTCAGTTGTGGGCCCCTGGGAATGTGACCCTGGCACTGAGTGTACAAAAATAGAGGGGGAGGCACTTGGAAACAGCAACAAATTATGGCCTTCAAAGGGCAGGGGCATGTGGCTAGGGAACCATGGACAGATGGGGTCTTCCTATCCCCCTGTCTTCTTCCCCTGGCAGGAAGAGGCATAGATCTCCCATCAATATGGAAGGTTCAATTTAAGTCACACCTCATCTGTTTGGCCCTTTTGGGGGATCTGTTCCACAGGCAGTCCCTGGGAGTAGGTCAGGGTCTTACCTCCTCACTATTTCAGCCTCCTGAGATTTCCCATTCTACCTACCTGGCAAAGTCTTCCTTCCTCTCCTTCTATGGTCAGGCTTCAAGCAGAGCTGAACTGAAAAGTTCCAGTAGCAGCATCCCCCCAGCTGAGGCCTCTCAGCTAGGAGCCCCGCCTCAGGCAGATGTCACTGAGAAGTGGAGATGTCTCTTGCCTCTATCTGGGCCGGTCGTTCCCCACCTGAGGCTGTAAGCTTTCCCAGGACAGGAACCACATTGACTTCTGCAGCACAATTAGACACACACACAGAAGGACTCCCCGGATACATGTCAGCAGATCAGCCCTGGGTGACCTGTGCCAAGGAAAGTCAGCAGAAAGGTAGGCTCTTTCCCACCAGTGGTGGCTCAGGATTGCCCAGGGAGGTTTTGCTGAAATAATTGTCCCTGATTCAACCTTAGCTGGGATCCAGCCTTATCCAGTTGCAGGATATATTCAGCATTATGCAAATGATGTGGTAGAAGAACCCTAGGATCTCAGAATATTCTGAATTTATTTTATAGACTAGGTTATAGGCTCAGAGATGGGGCTGTAATTTGCCTTAAATAACATAGCAGGTAGGGAAGGGCCAGTGTCAGAATTTTACTAACACATCAACAGATAGGAGAAAATCACTTTCTTCTCCTAGATTATTTGATCTCCCAGCAGCCCAGGAGACAGCCAGAAGACACAACTGCCAAACAGACTCAGCCTCTTCTGGGTCAGCTGCAGATCACAGTACAACCAGGCTCTAGTTCTTAGTCTTGAGGGGACAGCAGGATCCATTTATTGGTTACATCTGCAGAGTGATGCTAACCCTGGATTTGTCCTGGTCCAATCACTGAACCAGGGAGGTGTGAAGAACTCACACCCAATAGAACTGGTACAGAGGGGACCAGGTACTGTAGCATACTGTCGGCATGATCTATGAGGGAAGAAAATACCACTGGCAGTTCCTCAAAGGATTAAACAGAATTACTGTAATAGTCAACTTTTCATTGTTGGGACCAAAATACCCGGCAAGAACAATTTAGAGGAGGAAAAGTTTGTTTGGGGTCCATGGTTTCAGAGGTTCAATCCATGGTTGGCTGGCTGTATTGCTCTGGGCTGGCGGTGAGGCAGAACATTCTAGAAGGGAAATTTGACAGGAAAGCTATTCAGCTCCTGGAAGTCAGAAAGCAGAGGGAAAGAAGGAAGTGTGAGAAGAAAAATAACTCTCTCAAGAAGCTAGAGACAAAATA